TAACTTCATCAGACCTCACATAATCAAGTGACACACAAACTAATTCAAGTAGGAAAAACTCACCTGAAAATTCTAGAACTTGGGTACAAAACAAAACAATTCAAGAAACAGTGAGAGCTCCCTGGCCTGATTAAGAGCCTTGTATTCTGGTCTCTGCTCCCCCATTAATAGCTGCGTGATTTGGAGTAAGTCCCTTAACCTCTCTGAGCTTTAATTTTCTCCTCTGAAAGATGAGGGAGGTTGAATTAACTGACCTCAAATGGTTCTTTCCTGCTCTCAACTTTTACAACAATGTGTCAATTTCGTGCTGGTAAACAGGAAGAGTTCTTTGGCCTCTTGACTGAAAATGGATCTTCAAAAAACTGCCAAAGGAGAACTTTGTTCCTCTGAGTGAATCTGAGAAGAGCAGCACAGAATGCTGCATTCTCCACTGTGAAAACCAACCCCCAGAGCAAAGAGTAAGGCAGGTTTAAATGAAGTTTCCCAGTGCAATAGGCAAAGTGGTGGGCCAGGAAAGTTCTCATAGACTAACAAAGAAGATAGATTCCTCTGTCTTTCAGAGTTGGCTTGGTTTTGTGGCTGGAAACCCACACATGTTCTCACCAAAGAGACTTCAGAAGGGGCCTTCAATAAATGTTCTAGTTTTTTTTTTTTATTATGTTATGTTAATCACCATACATTACATCATTAGTTTTTGATGTAGTGTTCCATGACTCATCGTTTGCATATAACACCCAGTGCTCCATTCAGTACCTGCCATCTTTAATACCCAACACCAGGCTCAGCCATCCCCCCACCCCCCTCCCCTCTAGAACCCTCAGTTTGTTCTAGTATTTAAAAAACAGGGTAGTCACAGTGACCTCTGAGAAAAGCAAATGTTCTGAGGTGTGGCATAAATAACCCAATAGGTGAAACGCTTCATTCTAAATCATAGATGCATGTACAGCAAATGGACAAAGGCTCCTAGGGATGCAAAATCCACTGAAAATAAGAACCTATTTTCCCTGCACCTTGGCTCCAACCGGACATCACACACATGTTTAATTATCTCCAGAATCACTTACCTTTTACTGGAGAGAGGTCCTTTAGAAGTCAGTGAGGTGATACTGAGTCAGAGGCAGCAAGGGTTTTAGGGAAATACAAACAGCTCTGGGTGACTAGGGTGGTAATAATCAGGAAACCCAAGGGCTAGAGACCCCTTAGGTCAATATGAAGAATACCACAATACCAGAATTGATCCTTGCAAACAGATTTTTACCAGCATCTGGAATTTACCTAGACCCATGAATAGTTCTGAGGTCCCAGAGGTGTTATCAGACTCCCCTGGAGGAGCTCACTGGCTGGCTGGCTACACCAGTTAGGGTTCCAGCAGGAAAAGGGAGACCACTCAGAGGGGAATTTAATGATGGGACTCTTTACTGAAGCGTGGGCAAAGTTAAGGGAGCCTATAAGGTGTGTGGAGGTATACTAGCTTTAAAGATTTTATTTATTTTTGAGAGAGAAAGAAAAAACAAGCAATGGGGAGGGACAGAGGGAGAAGCAGATTCCCCACTGAGCAGGGAGCCCAGTGCAGGACTTGATCCCATATAACCTCAAGAAGGTGAAGTCTACCTACCTCAACCATAACCTCAAGAATTCTGAGCTCTGCCATCCTGATATTCTTCACACCACTGTGCTACCTGTAGCCAACACCACGGAGCACCTTGTGCTCTAGCTGGCTCCATGATATGTGTGGGAGTTGGTGTGTATCTATGGGCTTGTGGCTTTCCTCCAGTGCCTTCAGAGGCCATCCTTGGTCAATTACTCCCTTAGTTCAGCAGATGTCCTGGCTTTAGGAAGCAAGACAATCACTACTCTAGGTACCCCAAGTCCCATTTCACACTCGGGGTAACTAATGCCTCAATGAGGCTGATGGCTGACCAGCCCAAGTTCACACGGTAGACTCGAGCCCAGGTTGAGCCCCTGCTTTTTGTACCTCCTCATTTTGTGACTGGCCTAGGAATGGGTTATAATCTCTATTAGACAAAACTGTTGTCCATGCTGGTGGCCATGGCTACTTTGCTTAGTGAGATCATGTTAATCCTTATCTTCTCCTATGTAGCATCTGGAGTTTCCAATGATTCACTCAATGCATTTATCTTGAAGTCAATCTTCTGTATATTTAGAATGACAGAAACTGTGCAAGATAATTTAGGTTCCATTAGTAGGTTATGCATACCTCTATTATAGTACTTATCACAACATGCTATAATTTTTTTTGTTTAGATTTCTGTCTCTGCCACTTGACTGTGAGTTCCTCCAGGGCCTGAGCTGTATCTTCATGTTAGTGTTCAAGTTTCTCCCAAGAAATCAGCAGCTGAACACTTTGAACATAGTAAGTTTTTCATGAGTGAACTGGCTTTATAGTAAGGCTCAGTAGACAGGTATGCCTGATATATACATATTTGTCTACTCGACAAACATTTATTAAGTTTTTACTATGTGTGCAGCACTGTGCTAAGCTCTAAGAATCCAAAAAACACCACCTCTGAACCCAGGGAGATAACACTTCATAAAAGAGATTCACTTCTAATTGCTATGGACTAAGTGTTTTGTTTCTGCAAAATATATATGTTGAAATCTTAACCCTTAAAGTGATGATATTGGGAGGTGGGATCCTAAGGAGGTGATTGAACCACAAGGGTAGAGCCCTAATGATTGGAATTATTGCCTTAGGTGGGATCCCTCATCCCTTCCCATAGATGAAGACATAGCAAGAAATGACCGTCAATGAACCAGGAAGCTCTCATCAGACACTGAGTCTGTTGGCACGTTGATCTTGGACTTCCCAGACTCCAGAACCATAAGAAATAACTTTTTGTCATTTTTAAGCTACCCAGTGTGGTATTTTTGTCATAGCACCCTGAATGGACTAAGACAGTAATAATCCTCATGCAATTGGCAGAGATGCACAGGGTATTAAGGAAGACTAGAGAGGGATATTTAATATGGCTTGGTTGAGGAGATGTTCAGGGAAGAGCTCCTAGAGAACTGCTGAGCTGCATTTTGGAAGATGATTATGAGACATCCAGTCAAAGACATGTTGAAGGAGGCCATCAGGGAGAGGAGGTGGTAGGACCAAAGTACTGGCACGTGACCTAGCCAAGTGTGGTTGGAGGAAATAAAATATGAAACCACAGATGAGGCTGGAGAGAGTACCAAAGCCAGATGGGACAGTTTATAAAATGTTATGAAACTTGGATGCTCTCCTGTAGGTGATATTGGTACAGTAAAAGGATTTAAGCCAGGGAGGAATATGTTAAGATTGGTTTTTTGGGTAGACTTATTTCCTGACCTAGGGAAGAATGGAGTTGGGGATAAGACTAGAATCCGGAAAACAAGTTAGAAACAGTACCAACTGGGAAGAGATTGGGAAGACTTGAACTAGGGCAGTTGTAGTCAGAATGGAGAGAGGAGGGCTGACGTGAGTTTGATTTGGGAGATGAAGTTGGCAGGACTTGGGCAGTGAGGGAGACAGAAGAGACAAAGAAGTTTCCCAGGTTGGACAATGGGGCCATCCCTGCCAAGACAGAGGATAGGGACAAAAGGTCAAGTTTGGGACAAACTAGTGAGTTCACTTTAGACATCTGGAGTGTGAGGTGCATCTGACTCATTCAGGGAAATATGCAACAAGTAGTCAAAGACATGTTTGAAGTTTTGTGGGGATGGGGGGAGGGCTGGGAATACAGATATAAAATTTGTGGTTATAGACTGGAAAGTCGTGGTAGAAACCATGACAGTGGGCAGCATCACTTGGGTGAGTATGTAGGGAGATGGACAGAGGGCTGGAGCAGCTCCCTGGGAAACATGAACACATAAGGAACTGGCAGAGAAAGAGGAGCTCACAAAAAACGATTGGGAAGGACAGTCGGCGCTTGCTGGGAGGGTCTAGAGGACAGCTCTGCTCACAGGTGTCTTCCTAGGGCCAGCTTCCCTGACCTCAGACCACTCCCAGGCTCACACTGTTATCCTCCACAGAAGCTACCATAATTATAAATCAACACCTGATTGTATTATTCTTTAATGTCCATCTCCCTTACTAGAATAAAAACCCCATCAGGGCAGGGATTGGAGCTCTCTTATTCCCCAGGGAATCTGCAGAGCCTAGTAAGTATCTGGCAATTAGCAGGTGCTCAATCAATAAGTGTTTGTGAAATTAAAGATTGGTGTTCTAAACTTCCGGAAGTTAGAGAGTTTTAAAGACAGTTACTTTTAATAGTCAAGTTATCTGTTCCATTCAAAATATGAAATATGTTTATTTTATATTTTTAGTATTTCCCATGAAAAAAGTGTGTATTTCTGTCAAGTTTTTTATTAAGTTAGGGAACAATTCTCTTCTCCTCCTGGATATGACACGAGGCCTCCAGATCCTTGGAGAGTGGAGAAAGGGTGGCTAACAGCAGATTTATTACGTGTTAGTTAATAATATCATGTACCTGAGTGGTGGCACTGTCTTTATTCCCCAAAGGTTCACCTGGTCTCAGAGTAGGAAACAGATGGACAAAGTGCTTCATGGACATTTATCTGGTTGCTCAACCACAGATACAAATTATGATGTGAACATGGCCACAAGGTAGCGTTTCCTTCAGATAACATTTTTGTGGAAATTTTTATAAGAAAATATATTGAATTAAAAAATTACATATTTTCTATATACAAATCCTCATAGATAGATTAATATTATCATTGATTAAAATGCTAACAGTTGGATTCCAATATCAAACATTGAACAAGGTACAAATAAATTTAAATAACTGTATCTCTCTCTCTATTTTTTTGAAGGGGGGAGGGGCCAAGGGAAAGGGAGAGAAAGAATTTTAAGCAGGCTTCACACCCAGCAAAGAGCCTGATGTGGGGCTTGATCTCATGTGCCTGAGATCATGACCTGAACCAAAATCAAGAGTCAGACACTTCACCGACTGAGCCGCCTAGGTACCTGCCCCAACTATATCAATATTTATGAAAGGCTTCATCTATGGGCATTGAGATTAATGCAGAAAAAAAAAAAAATCCAAGTGTTAAAAGGCCAGCTTCCAGGTTGGATGTACATGTTCCAGAGATTTGGGTCTTTGTCTTCTTCTCTTTTCTCACTTTTGCTTCAAATCCTTACCCATCTGCAGACTTAGGCTTGAGATTTTTGTGTAAAAGGATAAAACCCCTAAATCTATAATGGCGTGTACCATGAAAACACTCCAGGAGACATAGCATAATAAGTTATATGTGCATCAAGTTTCAAAACAGATCTGATCCTTTCCTGAGGGCATTTTCCCATGGGCGAGAGACAGGAAAAAAGAGGTTTCAGCATGGGGTGGAGAAACATCGCAAAGGCAGTCCGAGGGTGTGCAGTGCAAACATTGCTGCTTTTGTTGTCAGGAACACTGGGTAGAGTGCAGACTGCACCTGTCTCTTGCTACTTTTTGAGCTTCCTTTTAGCAGCCCCATCTGAAAACGAGGTTCATCATAGTGACCTTCAGTATAGTGCTTCCTTCAAATTGGTGTTTAGAGTGTTAAATGAGCTAGTATGTGTAAAGCACTTGGAGCAAGGCCTGTCACATAATAAACACTGTCAAATATGAGCTGCTCTATTTGCACTTTTAACCTAGGCCATGAAATTGTGCACAGAGTTTTATGTCACCTTTGCCAGATCATCCTTTCCCTTGGGAACGCTTTCAATGAAGACCCTCTACTGCTGGCTCAGGTTTGTTCTCCCCATCCCTGGCCACCATATACCCTTGTTCTTAATGACTCTTAGGAGGTGAGTTTGGTTTTGTTTTGCCCTCCATGTGTGGCCTCTAGTTCTTTTTCCCAGTACTTGTTAGCCCTGATTAAATCATTGAACAGCACCAGCTCCAGACTTACATAAGAGCATTGGGAGCCTTTCCCTCAGGGATTTGCTCAGAACCCTCTGAGTCAGTTGCCCAGGGAAGCAAGCTGGTGATGTCACAAGGTATCACACTTCTAGTGCTCTCTCAGGTACCTTCTGCTGAGCTTGAGCAGGGCCCGGTTCTATAAACTCTGCCTAGCCTAAGCACATTCTCGTCCTCTCTAAGGCAATGCAGAGACCGCCACTCTCTCCCGGCAACGTCTAAACTCAGGTATGTGGGGCATGACTACACACCTCTTCCTATGCTTCTTTGGCCACAGATCTCTTGCTATGCGTCTTTCTTCTTAGGGCACAGAAACACCCTTGTAAATGATCTGGGGCAACCCTGGGTAACCTTTGGTATCTCTAAGGTATAGATACAAAACTAAAAAAAAAAAAGCCTTGGGGCTGCTCCCTGGAGGAGCAGTTTGTTACAGATTTTATAGGGCCCTAGAGACCTCAGGAGCAAGATTATAATATTCTTTCCCTTTCTACTGACCTCCCTCTGTGCCATAAACATGCCCATAATCTCTACCGTCTAGTCTATCAACCTGATCGTAATCTCTCAAGAGGTATTATTCCAACTTCCTTGTTCCGCCCAGATAAAAAGGAAAGAAGAGAATATGGCACTGACAGTAATGATTAGAGTTCATTGGTGTTTCACAATAAGTTCCGTTAACTCCCACTCCAGCCAAACAGTGCAAAGTGCAGATCTTGCCTTCCCCTCTGCTCCTCTTCAAAGCCTAAGCATTGAAACTTATGCAAGTCTGGGGATTACTTATTATTTAAATGAAAGCCTCTGAAAACCAGCAATAATCCTGTCTCCTAAGTTTATTGGGAAGGGAGCCTATGAGAGAAGCAAAATTCAGTCTTGCTGGAACTCCCAATCCCAGAGGGGTGTGTTTTACAGCTCTTGGGCATGCCTTATGACTCCGGCTGTGACCCGCAGAAGGACGCCAGAGGAAAGCTACCCAAGTCATTCACGACTCCCTGGTCAGAGCTAGCCATGACGAGGACTTGTACCTGCATATACCACTTCCTTGTTTTGAGCTGGTATATTTTTCTCAATTATTACATCTCACAAAAAGGAGGAAGAGACCAGCAGAAATCCAAAATCTTTCTCAATGGCGGACAGTGGAAGCATTTGACATTCCTAAATCTGGTAAGTCCATATGACCATACCAGGAAGCAAGCTATTTGTCTACAGTACCAGTGTGTTTACACATATGACCTTTGAGTTTTATTAAATACAAAATACCATTCTTTGTCTTCCTTCTTCATTGTCTGTGAGTTTTGGCTTTCTTTTTGACTTGACAGTTTGCTCTGAGAAACCCAGTTGAGAAGTTACCGGTTCCTATCTTTTGTGCTAATTGGTAAACACTCTTTTGAAAAGAATCGTATCTTGGAGTTCTTCTCAGATGAGCTCAAATGGAAAGACTAAATTAATGGTTTCACCGTAGGACTGACTACAAACACAAGCGGGATTTTGAACTTTGCTTGGGGAAATCTGTGAGGGAAGGCAGAGTGGCGTATGTTGTGTGGGAAGCACAATTTCCAATGGGGGAATGATGCCATTTTCCAGCACAGACTAACAGATTTATCTAAGAAAAGCAAACACATTTTGCCATGTTCAGATCCCACTTCAATTTTTTATAGGCTCAGGCTCCATCTTAAAGGATGAATCACTCAACCAAATGGCAAATACACATTTTCAACAATTTACCAACCAATCCTATGACTCAATCCCTTCTTGTCTCTGTAGCCCAGCTGACCACATTCTGATGAATGAAGTGTGAATGAATGGGAGAAAAATAGGTTTTTAAAAACTTTTTGGGGAGTATGTAAAAATATTAAAGTTAAAAGCTAAAAATAGTACAGCCTTTGGGGATGCTAATTAATGTTTGAGATTTTTTTAACTAAAATGTAGGGTGCCATAAAAGCCTCTGATTTCAGAAACTGGGCAAAATATTCCAATCCTTGGGAATCACAATCCTAAGCAGAGGTTATGCATGGTCGGGAAAAGTAACACTCTACAGTGCTAAGGAGAGGAAATTCAGATTCAAATCCAAGGGGCCTGGAGGTTCTGCTTCCTCCTCTTTGGCCACTTGCTGGCTTTTGATTTTGGCTTGAAAGATTCGAGCCCTGGCAGCTCTTGTGTACTTGAAATAATCAAGGTGACTCCTTCTTTCAATCATAGAATTTTATAAAACAAACACACAAATCAAAAACCACAAAGAAATCCTTTTTTGGAGCTAGGATAATACAGTGAAAACCTCAACTTTGAGTATCTATTGGCTTTATATTAAGAATAGTCAACTAAGGGTACCTGGGTGGCTCAGTCGTTAAGCGCCTGCCTTCAGCTTAGGTCATGATCCCAGTGTCCTGGGATCGAGACCCACATCAGGCTCCCTGCTCAGCGGGAAGCATGTTTCTCCCTTTTCCACTCCCCCTGCTTGTGTTCCCTCTTTCGCTATCTCTCTGTCAAATAAGTAAATAAAATCTTTTAAAAAAATAGTCAACTAAAAGACAGGGGGGTAGTCAGGATTGATGGTGGAATCTAAACCAAATTCCAGTATGGATGTCCCATCTCACAGTAAGCATGGCTGAGAACAGACTTCCCACCCACTACCACAAACCAGCTCCCTGACTTCTTCATTCTCAGTTCCATGCCCCAGAGCCCTCATATTTCCAAGAATGGAAAAAAAAACACTTATCTTGTCAAAGACACTATTCTTTCCTAGTAATAATCCCCTTTTCACTTCCCTGATGAATCAGCCACCAAATCCTATGTTTTTCCTTTCCTTAGGTTCATTCCTTTCTCCCCCAATCTTACTACCCCTCTAATTACAGGCTCTTAGTAATTTGTACCTGGGTGATGAGATTATCTCTTCATTGCCCTCTTACTAGCAATCCATCCATCAACCTCTCAGATTCCAGATTCATCTTCCCAAAGCACTGGTTTTGGTTTGGTTTTGTTATAAACATCATGAACCTGCTTGCTCAGGGTGGTTCTGCTACTCAAGAAATCACAGTGGCTCCCTCCTACTTTATGGAACCAATTGCAAACTCCTGACTTAAGAGCTCACCTGCCTACTCAGCCTTCAGGTCCCCCCGTCCCCAGAAAAGCTGGTCTCTTCTCCAGGAAGACCTGTGTCTTCTCCAGCGTTGGTCCCTAGGCTTCTTGCCATCACCACTCTGCCTGTATTCACACCATCTTTGGATCAAAGACCTACCTGCCTCTCCACCACTTTGCCGCTTTCATAGACCACCCAAAATCCCATGTTTTCCTTAGAACCTCTGCTGACCAACTCCAACCCACATTTGTTTTTCCTTTCCCTGAGTTTTTATGGCATCTCTCAGTCTCCGCTTATTTATGTATAGTATTATTTTCTTATTTCCATCCACATGTGAGTCTTTAACATTCTAATCAAACTGTAAATGGCTCTAAAACAGGAGTTTTGTCTCCTAACATTCCACATTGTATTTGCTACAGTGGCTGGCGCGGAGTGCCCCTAGAAGAAAAATTAAGCCACTTGGTATGTTGACTGCACTTGACCTTCAGCGTTTTCTGCCTTCCTGAGCAGTATTATCTCTTCTGACATCTTTCGTCTCTTGAAATGAGCAGAGACGGCCTTGCTTACCTGTGGCTGTTTCCCTGCTGGGCTCTGTTAGGTGTCATCTTGAAAGTATGACTTAACGCAAAGTTTTCTAATTGGTGAAGATGGGTTGACCGTGTTTCAGAGGATCAATTTAAAGATAGATTCCAAATATGTTACTCAAGGTGAGATCCTGGGCCTTAACATTTCGCGCTCTTGAGGCCTCATGGGCTGATTTAATAGTTGTGTTTCCTAATGATTAATTGGTTAACTAATGATTAATTAATGATTAGTGAATAGTTGTGTTTATCAAGGCACAGAAGTCTCATAACTGGCTATAATACTCTTAAATTTATTTTATGTAAGCTTGTTGAAGTCAGTACCCTTTCCTGCTCTCCAGGAAATTTACCCCTCTCCCTTTAAATAGCTCTAATTTTTACTTGACCGAATATCAGTCATGCCTCATTTCAAGAGAACAATCCACCTTAGTGCAGGTTAACATTCTGAGCATCCCCGTTTTCTTCTTGAAGCATCCTATAGCATTCAAAGAGAAGACACACATTTGGTGTGTGGTGGCAGGGGGTGGCATGGGAGAGGTGCCACTGAGAGTTGGTCACAGTGACCAGTTCCTGCCCAGTGCCCAAGGAGATAAAGAAAAGAGAGAGGAGATCTGAGTTTTTGCCTAATGAGGGAGTATACCCACCCCAGGGAAGAGGCAGCCAATTCTCTGTTGGGAGAGAGAGGCTGTGAGCTGCAGGGTTATAAGCATGAGCTCTACCGTCATGAGTTTCTGGGATGGCACCTCAGCTCTACCACCTCCACGGTCTATGATCCTGGGCTAGGTATTTCTTTGTGTTTTGCCTTTCCAAATCTGCCAAATAGAAATAAAAGGTCATCACAGAATGACCAGGAGGGATGCATGACTCAACACGCAGGAAGCTCTCAGAATGCTGTATACACTGGATGATGAGGAGCAAAGATAGGAGGGTGGTGATGAGCTTCTAGTTTCTCATCTTTGAGTAGAGGTCATGCAGAAGGCAAGGTGATTTAGTGGGACATGGGTCACCTCACAGCACCATGGTTGGTGGGTTATAGATCCAGGCAAGAGTTGCCCACCCGCCCCACTGCTCGGGTTCTCTCTCTGCAGGGTGCATTCTCCAGCTTCCCAGCCAGAGGATGGCCACTGTGGAGCCACCTTTAGCGGTACAGGTGCAGACTTCAGGCACTGGGGCCATCCTGGGAGTAGAGTTGGCAGGCTCCAGCAGAGAGCAGTGAGTCATGCTGAATGGGGATGCCCCTGAAGCTGGGTGTGGAGACATGGCAGTGCTGTGGACATCCTCAGGGTGCTCGTGTCAGCTCAGGCTTCCAGTGCCTGGGACTTCCACAGATGTGTCCCCTCCTCTCTATCCACTCCATTTCCATCCAGGGACTGCCCCTGACCTCAGGGAACTTATGCTGGGAGGTGGGGATGGAGGGGAATTTTAACTACAATTTAACTTGTTGGCTTTATACAGTGTGCTGGGTTTTCCTCTTTTTAAAAATAAAATTCCTCCTGAAACATTGTGCCACATAACTGGGATCTCCAGGGGAGATTCTGGGTGGCCCCCTCCCCCTTTAACCAACAGAGACACAACCTTTCCCACCATTTATCATGAAGTTGCCCAAGCCTCGTGCAGCTCTGGCCTCATTCCCCTCAAGCTGTCACCCTGACAACAGCAACTTCATCCATAGGTCCCCAGAGATCTCAAAGCAGGGCTGGGGGAAGAGAAATTCTTGAGGACCTTCCATTGGTCCAAACTCCAAAGCAGCTCACAAACAATGAAAAGACAGGGATCCATTTATCTTACAGGACCCACTTGGAGCCAACCTTTAATTTCCATCATCAGGCGAATACATTCATTTGTGGAACTCTTAAACTCAACTCTTAAGCTCAGGAATACACTTAACTGTCTAGTCCCAAAAATGCTTAAGGCCACCGTTTTCAGCTCTCAGCTGAAAGGATGACAACTGATGGCAGGAAAATGTCACCACCAGCACCCAAAATAAAATAGCTGTAACTTAATTGGGCAACCATGACATTCTGGTAGGTTCTTTACACACTGTAAAGAGGTCAGTGATTGAAGACCCAGCTTCTGGAGCCAGGTTGCCTGGCGGTGAATGCTAGCTCTGCTGTTCACTTGCTGTGTGATCTTGAGTGAGTTACCTAACATCCCTGAGCCTCAGTATCCTCATATGGGGTGGATTCCTTGGTGTGGCCCCCAGGTCCCCCCATGTCCCCAGCATCAAAGTATTCGTTCCCCAGCATCCGGGAGGAGTGTTGGCTGCTGAGGTCCTGTCCCAGAAATGCCCTTAGCAGAAGGGAGCTGCCTAGACAAGGCTCAGGGCCCTCCCTGGGGTTGCTGCATCCAATGACTGGTTGATTTGGGGTAGAAAGGCCAGGCTCCAGGACGACTCTGAAGCACCAGCTCAGCTCCACAGCTCCTTTGGGGCCCACCAGATTCCATGCAAGGGCATTGCCTTTCATCTTTTCCTGCTGCTCTTTCCTGTTCCCCCCGCCCCCTTCCCTCCCTCTCACAGCTGTTTCGAGAGCACTCCTCAATGAACACTTTGCAAGCAGATCTAAGAATCTGCTTCTGTTTCCCAAGGAACCTGACCTACATGATGTAAAATAGTAAACATACAGGAAGGGTTCCTCCTCCTGGAGAGGAGAACTCTCTTCTTCCTAACAAAATACATATGAGCACAGAGCCCGCCCTAGCCTGTACTATGTCTAACACATGTCTGAGTTTCTGGCACCTAACAGGCACTCTGTGAATGTTGGTTGCACGAATAAATGACCAGAACCTGGGTCTACCTGGTCAGAGGCATTTTCTAGGGAACCCCACCCCACCTGTAAGGGAGCCTACCCACAGCCTACCCATCCTGCTGTTACTCTGAAGCCAGTGGTCAGCCGCTATGCAACCCTGGCTGAACATTCTTAGAATTCTTCTTCCAACCTGTCCTTCAGTGTTCTCTTGGTTTCTTCTCTTTTTTCCCCCCTCCTCTTCATGCCAGCCTATATTCTTCACATCATTTCTTCTGTGTTTTTTATCTCAGTTTTTTACTTAAGCTAAATGCACATGAATGATGCTTGAAACAGTCTATTACATATATAGTGCAGATCTCTTTTAGCAAAGGCTTCCTCTACCTGCCCCCAAACTACCCTCACTGCCACAGTTATAGAAAATACTCACCACAATTAGTCTCCATTTGCTCTTTTATTCTGGAATAGTCTCCCACTGCAAGTCTTGCGTCATTTCAAAGACAAGACCTAAGAAAGTCCCAGCCTGTTCAAGTCAGGCACAGAGCTGGGCTGGGCGTTGGATGACTTGACTCATCCAATAAGATTTGTAATGTCTTGTTCAGGAAACTTGTGGAATCTCCCTCTCTGGAATTATTTTTTAAATAGAAGAAATTCTCATTTCCTGAGATAGTTGAAGAAGGTTCTGGCTTAAAGGCAAAGAAATTAACTTGATGACTTAGAAAGGCGAAGTTTCCATCATTTCAAGATTTTTGTGAATCTTGTGAAGACACGTGAATGTAAAAACAAAATTTCCTTTAGCTATGGTTTCTTAAATTGCACTACTTATAAAAAACGTAATTCAGCCTTCCCAGGTGGTAAATTTTTTAGCGAGCAGCAAAAACGGAAGCCGGCTAACAAACTTAGACCAGCAACATTTCAGAAAAAGGCACAAGGAACAAACAGACTTAGAAAAGAATTGGTAGAAGAGATAAATCACAGAGCTGTAGCTTGAAATAAACCCTGATCGAGATACCACCAGCTCTGCTTTCTTGGGTAGCCCACATAGTGGAGAAATGGAAATGACAGTCATTTTGTTGTGATATTCTTCAAAGGAGGCTGGTTGTTGCCATCTTGTTTCATCGCTACTGTGTTGGTCTGCTCAGACTGCCACAACAAAGTACCACAGCCCGGGTGACTTAAACAACAGAAGTTAATTTTCTCACAGTTCCAGAGGCTGAAAGTCCAAGATCAAGACGTCTGCAGGGTAGGTTTCCCCTGAAGCCCCATCCTCGGCCTGCAGATGGCCACTTTCTTCTCCCCGTGTCTTCACGTGGTCCTGCCTCATGGTGCATGTGGTCTGCATCCTAGTCTCCTCTTCTTAGAAAGACACCCATCATGCTGGATCAGGACCCACGCTGACTGACCTTGTTTTCGTGCATTTACTTCTTTAAAGACCCTATTGCCATATACAACCACTGAAGGTTATAACTTCGACATAAGAATTTTGAGGGAACACAGTTCAGTCCCTGATAGCTACCATTTTCTCCCTTGACTGTTCTTTCTGTGCTTGTTTTACAAACACTTCATTGTATTGTCATTAGGGGATGAGCAGACCCTTGTCGCATTGGGTGAGTTGATACCAACCTGTCCTCAAAGCCCTCCAAGAAACCTCCCCATTGAAGGAGATCATGGCACCTTCTTCTCTTTGCCCTCCAGCTCTGATGCGTGGCTCCTCTCTGCCCTAGTTCTGGCTTATTTATTTCTCTTGGCAACACCCTAGTGCCTCCCTCCTGAGTTCCTTTGTGAGGGCTCCACAAATATTCCTTGTTGATACAGATGATGGCATGTCAATGCAGATTGAGATCAGTGGGGACAAGGCTGCTCCACGTACACAATAGGCATATACATGTGAGCGGGGGTGGGGGTGGGGGTGGGGGTGTGTGTAGGGAGAGATGGAGAGGTGATTGGCAAGTTTGCAGTGTGGAGAAAAGTTTTATTGATGAAGGAGAAGCCAGGGAGGCTCTGAGTCATGTGTTCTTTCCTCCCAATCCAATTTCCACAGTTTTGGGAAGAGCCAGAGAAAGTTAGGACGTGCTTGACTCATGGTGACTCTAGGAAGCTCTTGCTAAGGAAAGTGGTCACACGGACTTCACATGTTGGGTGGAGGTAACCTCTCCCCAAAGACAGAAAACCTGGCAGACGCTCAGTGCTCAGTACATGATTAATTGCTCTGTTGATAGAGGAGCGCGGGTCTCCTCGCCAGGGCCCGGGCCCCATGCCCGCCTTCCTAACTAAAACAGCTGCCTCCTGTGGCCTGAACCACTGGAAGTGAAACCAGGGATGAGGTGAGAGCTGCTCTGGGGGAGTGGAAAGAGTGGAGGAGGAGGTGACTTCCTCTAACATCCATGTGCAAAAGACTGCTCCAAATTCTATCGCCCGAGGGCTGAATGTCAAAAGTAGATGATGAGTATTGGGGTGGCCACCTCTTTGTGACATGTAAAACTGTTGCCCACCCCTCTCTGGAACCACCCTTCTGGCTCAAAACTTCCTCCTCCCTTCAGGGACCATGGGACTCTTGTACCTTCTCAGTTTTCTACCATCTGATCATTCTTTGCTACTTTGCTGTCCCCTTGCCCCTCATGCCCTGTGGATGAGGGCGTTGCCCCTGCAATTCACTTTCCACTTCTCTCTCTCTCTTTCTCCAAGCTCATCCCACCAGGAGGGTTTAGTCCCCGGATCGTCACTGTCCCACTTCTCTTGGGAAGGCCAGATCCAAATGTCCAAACAGAAGTTCCTCTACGCAACTGGTTCTCAACCTTTAGCGGTCCCAGTTAGAATCACTTGGGAGAATTTTTAGAAATCCTGAAGTCCAGGCCACACCTCTTAGGAAATTAGAATCTCTGGGGGGATAGGTTGAAAATCAGGCATCAGTACTTTTCACAGTCATTTTTAATTCTCCCACCAGGAGAGAGTTGCCTTTCTTCCAATCTCCCACAGTGTTTTACCTAAACTGTTCTTAGAATCCTGACTTTTGGGTGTCTGCATGGCTCAGTTGATTGGGCGTCTGCCTTTGGCTCAGGTCATGGTCCTGGGGTCCTGGCATCAAGCCCTGTGTCGAGCTCTCTGCTCAGCGGGGAGTCTGCTTCTCCCTCTCCCTCTGCTGCTCCCCCTGCTTATACTCTCTCTTTGTCAAATAAATGATTAAAAAAAAAAAAAAAGAAACCTTTTTTTTTTTTTTTAAGTCTGATTCAAGAACCAGACTCTGGGTTTTGAATCCCCATTTACCCACCATGAGACTTAAGGGAAGTTTGTTTATGTCTCTATGGCTCAGTTTCCTTACATGTAAAATGGGTTGGGAGAGAGCATAATAATAAGACTTACCTCATAAGGTGGTTATGAGAAATTAAAAAACCTAGATCAGAGCCTGGCACATAACAAGAAATCAATGAAAGTCTGTTATTATGGCTTTGAGTAGTCAATAGGAATTTTTTATATCTAATCCAGTGAGCATTTCCAGAAATTTAGCATATGTAAGGGTCACCTGGGGAGTTTGTTAACAAGTTGCTGGACCCCACTCCCAGAGATTCTGATTCCACAGTCTGGGGTGGGGCTGAGGTCCTGCATTTCTCACAAGCTTTTGGGTGACACCAGTGCTGCTGGTCTGAGGACCCAGCTGGGTATATGTCTGGCCCAATTCACCTCTGGATCCTCCCTCACCCACCCCTTCAAGCTAAAGAACGGGAGGAGGCCAGCTCTGCTAGAACTTCTTTTTCCTAGAATTCAGACCTTAGAGGCCATTCCCCAACAGCCAACCTGACCCAACCTGAGAGCAATGCCCTAGGTTCCAGACCTTGCCTGACTCGTACTCTCAGAGCAGAGTCCTGATTGCCCCTTTTGTACCCAGAGCTTTCACGGAATAGCATGGGATCTAGTGCAAGTACAATCAAAACCAACCATAACTCTGTATGGTGACCCATGAAGTCTTCAATCCAAAGCCACAGATTTGTGCAAAACAGTAAGAATGGGCAAAGTTTGCCCTTAGCTGGTCTTACTTCACTGAAAAGAGCCCTACTTCTCTTTGACCTCGCCTCCAGGACCTCATGGTACTTAGTGATGCACCAGAGCCCCTGGCCTGCTCTATCCCTGTGGATTTAAATCACTCCTTTAGCCAGATTTTCTTTGTAAGGCCTTCAGGCACCCCCTATCAATCAGAGAAGGACATCGGCTTCTCTCTCAGATAAGCAAGACTCCATTTTGTGAATCTCCCTCAGGAGAGCAGGGAGCTCCTTTGTGGCACTCTTGACCCTGATTCCAGCTTCTTTAATGAGATTGCAGCACTGGGCATTTAACATTTTTTTTTTCTTCCTGGGAAGAAGCCAGAGTATGTCCACCATTGTGTCTGGCTCTTTGCCCTTGTGCTGTTTATTTGGTTTTGCCTACCTCCGTGCAGCTAAGGTATCTCTCATTACATTCTCCTTTTAAGCTGACTCTTTATTTTGTTTCCATTTTAGCTCAAGTCCATTACACTAAATACTGTACACATTATTATCCCCTAAACGACTTTACTCAATCAGTTTTAGCGAGCAAGGTCAGGGCCCACTGAGCTGGAAGACCAGCCCTTGAATTGGCTCTCAACCAACACAGCCAACAGCCCCCTCCTTCTCAAATCAACATTGCTCCCAGAGGGATGGAGCTTTACGTCAGTGAAGAATGTATTAATTAAAGCAAATGAAAATGCCCTCATTTGTTGTAATGAATTTAGCTCTTGCAGGCCATTTTCTACGGGGTCGCCTGCATGGAAGATGTGCTAAAAAGAATTAAGGGGGAAAAAGACATTAAGTTCATGACCGCCTTCAGAGACCTGCTTTTTACCACGCTAGCTTTCCCGATTTCCACAGTAAGTCACAGAGATGTGTTAGTGATATAATACACATGTCCATTTGGATGAACACCACCTCTCCTGGGCAGCAAGGCTGTTCAGGTGCCCGTTATTGTGAACCAGAGCAAGTGCATTTGCATGAATGTCTTGTCTGAGGACTGTGCTGTGCTGCCCAGTGTCATCAGGAAAGAAGGCTCATTACTGACCAGAATTATCACTGCCTTCTTGTCTTTGTAAAAGTTTGATTCAAGATCCTTGTGGATGTCTAATGGGGAAGTTTGAAGGATCTTTCTTAATCAAACTACAACTAAGATAGCTTTGGCTCCACCAGAGTCCTGGGAATGCAGGGTGCTGGGGAGACAGATGACTCATTTTCCCTTTTATACATCTTGTTTCACTTGCTATAATGAGCATATGTTACTTCTGCAAGTGGAAACCATAGAAAAAGGGGTGGGGAGAGGGTATGAGAACTTCAGAGTTGGCTCGTGGAAAAGACAATTGGGGAGAGAGCAAGACAGTCTGTCCAAAATAATCTAGTGTGGGGTGCACAGTGAGTACCTCATTCATTTTGCTGAATGAATGGACACTGGAAAGGGGCCCGACATATGCCAGCAACAGTGAGCGTATTTGCTGATACTGCCCACGTTTCGATGACACTGCTTCTGTTTTCATTCATTGGTTAGAATGGAAACAAACTGAGATCAAGCCTGCTGGCTGCCCAGCAGGGCCTATGCTTAGAAATGACTGCCTCCCTCCGCCTGTCGTTGTCCTGCATCCTACAGTATTGAGACTCCAGACTTAAAACCAAAATGAAACTGCCCAAACACTGACGAGTTCTCAGATAACAGAGCAAGTCCTGGCATTCCAGTTTTACTTCGCAGGATACCTCGTCCTTCACTCCCATACATCTAAAGACCAGGTTTTTAGTAGCAGTGGAGTTTATTCTTTTTTTTTTTTTTTTAAGTCTTAGAAATGGAGTCTTTGGGATTTAAGAAGATAGGAAGATTGGAAAATTAATGGTTATTTTTTTTCCCCCATCTCTGCATTGACTTTGTAACACAGAGGACAGACACTTTGATAGGACAGCCAAGGGGCATGAGAGGATGAGCATCGTTCCAAAGCTCCGAGCAAGGGGGAGATGCAACTCTCATTAACTAGCTTGTGAATTATCCTGGGCGCTTGTCACTTCTGCCCTCTCCCAGTGTCCCTGTGTCTCCTTGCTGTGCCTACTCAGAGGGTGGGCAAGGGAAGTGTAAGACTCAAACCACCCCATGTGGCTGATCTCAGTATTCCCAGTGAAAGTTTAGACTAGAGAGGTCATCGGTTAAAATAAAATGACTTAATGGTCTGTGAATCCTGTTTACCTATACCCTCCCTGATCGCCATGAGGATGAATAATTGATCCCCAATTCTCTGGAATCCCCAGAGAGTGGACATAGCAATTCAACAAAGTCAGGAAGTTTGTCTTCATTTTACATTTCTATAACCTGTCTATAGAATATCTTTAAAACTGGTCTCTATTTTTATTTCTCCATGTTTCCTTGGTTAACTTAGAAAGTTCTGATGGAAAACAGACTTAATGATGCTATTTTTGTATTTTATTTTCCAGTTTGTGTTTTTGTCATTCTGGATCCTCTTTCTCTATGATCGAGAGCTCGTTTACCCTAAGGCCCTAGATGGTATCTTTCCAGTATGGTTGAATCACGCAATGGTGAGTAAAGGGCAAATTCAGTGACTATGGAAAGGCATCAGGCTCTGTACCAAGAACTCCAAAGTGCCTTATTTATGTTTCCGAACGTCTCAGTCCCCATCATCCTATTCACTCCTTTTCCATCCCATCACTGTTTATTTAAAGAGCACTGTGAGGGGGCACCTGAGTGACTCAGCGAGTTGAGCATCCGACTCCTGATTTCCACTCAGGTCGTGATCGTAAGCGTTGTGAGATGGAGCCCTGTGTTGGGCTCCATGCTCAGCAGGGAGTCTGCTTGAGAGTCTCCCTCTTCCTCTACCTCTGTCCCTCCCACCGCTCATGCACACTGGCTCGTGTTCTCTCTAAATAAATAAATAGAGAGCACAGTGAGGATACAAAATGAGCAAAAACAGCTACTGTAATTGGAGTCACTGCAAGCAGAGGGGATGTCCAGGCAACACTGTTTGCAAGTTGCCTCTGAAGTCATTGAAAAGACACCCAACCATAAGGACAGGCAACTTCTTGGCAGCCGCAGTCCTGAAAGAGAAGTGACTTCAGTGAATAACATGTAATGAAATTCTGATCTAGGAAAGAAGTCAAGCCACCTTTACGAAAAATCCACCCAACACCCAAAGAACATCTCCCAGCTCATCAGCAGCTCTTTATCTAACACTTGATTAGGACCATTCGTGGCAAATGCACTTATTCTTTACTTGTCTCTTTGGAGTTATCCCCATCTGGTTTTTTACTCATGCATTTATTTTTGAGGGTCTGAATAGTAAATAGAACCTATTCTGAGAGATTCAGGTCACTGGTATCTGAATGCCAGGAACAGTGAGCTGGACAAGCCGCGCTCATACATGGTTGGCTCCGTCTTGGATGAAAGAGGAGGTCTGAGTTATTGGCACTGCACATATGCAGGACATATTCAGAGTCCTAGCTCAGCTTCTCAATATTTACAAATGCATTTCCACATTAGTGAGGAGTTAGGAAGGAGGTCTCAGATTCTGCAAAGTAAATGACATTAAAAAAAAACAAACAAACAGGGGACACCTCAAGGGAGAATATTAAGGTTCTTCAAGTTCACAGACTTTCTTCCACTCCTAACCCTTCCAGTTGTCTTAAAACTCACATGATTACCACTTTGGAAAAGCAACTCCGTTAACTCTGCCCCTTCATGTGCCCTGCCCCCAGAAAAATGTACTTTTCACTTTAAATATGTACTCAGTGAGATAGTGATTATTAATTGACAAAGATAACACAATTTCTGATCTAATTCAGAGTTCAGGACCAAAAACTATATATTAAATAAGTCCCACCTCTCAGGAATCCCTCCCACCACTTTCTTTTTGTCAAACCACCCCTCACCTTCCCAAATTCCCATTAACATTAATCTGAGACACACATGTAGGAAATATTCCTGCTTTTTAATGGCACTGTATACTGTGCTAAGCCTGTTCTTCAAACATGAGCTCATTTCATTCACACAACTTTCCTTAGATGACAACCATATCCTGATTTTTATAAATTAGAAAAAAATAAAAGTTTCAGAGAGGTTAAGCAATTTGACTAGGGGCTACCAAGCTCATAAATGGGGCAGCTGGATTTAAAACTAACTCACTCTTCCTTGCTTTTTGTTACAGTAAGTGCAAAATTTGTGATTCGATCTGGTTTCATAATTCACCAGGCAATCAAAAAGGATGTCACTCTGCTTGATTAACATAGCAGACTGAGAATTCTCACTTAAAAAAAAGAAATCCAGAATCCCCATCTGTATGGTAATAAGCCAAAACTTGACTTAAGAAAATGGAGTGATTTTGGACAAGTGACTGAGCTAGATGTTACTAAAATGAAAAGGCAGGGTGTAGGAAGTGTCTTTAATTTGGAGCCAAACACATATATCGACACCTTTTTCATGGCTTTGTGAGCTTATGTAGAAGTCTTCTTATAACCATTACAAGCTTGCTACCTCTTTGGGGTTCCATTTTCCACATAGACGTGAAGTTGGATTTCTTCCAAACGCTTGTAATGGCAATGCCTGGCATTTGTGACCTTGCTAGACAGCCATATGGACTTTTGGTAATTTTGGAAGCAGATAATTGGATAATGTACAACATATCTGTAAACTAATTAAGGCAGATATTGTACAACAGGGGTCTTAAGATTATTTTGTGCCTTTACAGTGGGAGTTTCTGTTGACCCGGTTCCTTGTCCTATGGTCAATCAATTAGGCTTAACCTTAGAGAGCTTTAGAGAGAAAGGGCCAGAGTCCACAGAGGAGTGATGTTGGTGACAAAGAGAGGAGAGGGGGAAGGAACCTGCCTTGGGTCAGACACAGACTCTTCTGTTTTCTGTTCATTTAATGGGAGAAACTCCCAACAGAGCCATTATGGAAAAATGTTGGCATCAGCAAAACCAGCATTGGGTATCCCTAATGTGGTCACCTCCAAACTTCCATGCTTCCTTTTGTTCTGCTCCAAACCCAAGATCTTCAAGACTGCATCTCACGCCTCTTTCTCAGATCATGTTCCTTAGTCTGGACTTTTTTTTTTCTTACTATTGAATCCCCCTGATCAGTTGCCTCGAGGAATGCTCTCTGCTAATTTCTCAGATACCCCAGTATGAAAGAATATGGAAATAACTATTACTGGGTCAGTTTGTCAACTCTATGTGCTAACAGTGTCCTTCCATGACAATCCAAAGGAGTGAGTACCTGGAAACCACCATTGTGACAGTCAGAGTGATGGTGGGGGGTCAGCCTGGACACTTCATACTAGTTGCCTCCATACGTGGCTGGCCCTGATCTAAAGGGCATCACCCCCCCTTTCTCTTCCACAGTATAAGGATTATTGCTGTACATAACCAGTTGCATGCTTTCCTGAAAGATGCTTTCATTCCACAACAGTACTTATGTTTGCTATTCTAGCCTTAGCTTTGGAATATTTTTCGCATTGCCATTTGTGATGCTGCCCTGGGTTTAATGAGTAGTATTTGTCAAATTAAGAAATAACACTCTCCCTTTTGCCACAGTGTGGTTCTAAACCCTTAATGATTCATCAGGTCTTTGGAATCCTCCCAGCCCGATCCTTCTAGCTCATTGGAGACTCCTTATTGAAGTAAGGCGATTCAAAGTTGACCGTCATCTCTAATGGACATTTTTCTACTGGTGCTTTTCATTCAAACCAAATAGTAACATCAGTGAGATATTTGCATTCACCATTGACAGGCTGCCGCTGGCTGGTGCCCTAAGAACTCCCATTAGAGCCAGGCTGCCTTATTTAAAGTAGATCAACCTGCCTCTTTCATTGCTAAGCATTCTCAAGTCTTCATGAAAGAAGGAGAAGAACAGCAAAGTTTTCTTCCAGGGTTTGCCAGGAAAACATTAACTCCCCAGGTCTTATCTAAATGACTACTAAAGATAGAATGAGAGCGCAGGGACTTAAATAGCAGGAAGAGGACTCAGTACCTGAGGAAAACATCAGATCATAACCTGGAGGGAGCTAGGGAACTTATTTCTCTGGAAACCAACCTAAATTGTTCAGGTAGCCATTGGGGAGAGTGAAATAGATCAGAGAACCCCCTCAGAGCCCCTCTACATTTTAAAATAGTACAGTTATTGAGAACGTGTGTGCAAGCACTTTATAAAGTATTAAGGATGGTGTAGATATGTTACCATCATATAAAATTCTCAATGCATGGTCACAGAATTATAGAACTGATAAAGCTTTCATTGATATTAAAGGAAGTTTCAAAATAACCTGCTCTTAAGAGACAGGCCTTACTTCGGCTCTTTACATTGGAGCAAGTGCCAGATACAGCATCTTACTTATTTCATGCTTTGTCATTTATTCATTTGAAAAAATGATTAAGTACCAACTGTGTGTGTAGCACCATGGTCAATATTTGACAAAGTTTTTGATTTCTAGCACCCTTAAATCTGGTTGAGCCTAGTATATACACACAAAGGTGAAATAATAAAATAATAGTTAATACTAATAGAAGACATTGCCATATGAGGTGTCACGCCGTAGTATGTAATTATTGCCAAATGAAAGACATGGACAGGAAGAGGGCTTCTATGTCCCCTGTGTCCTGGCCTGGTTTTGACCAACAGGTGTGTCATGACTGAACAACCTGGAAGGCCTTTGGGCTCTCTCTGGGGGTGTGCTGGGGAGTCATAATGTCAAGACAGGGCAACTCTATACCTTTCAGTTTCTTACTCACTCAGAGCATGCAAGATGTTGTCTCTCCCTAAATTCAGACCCAATCTCAGATCTTTCTCTCCCACTCATAAGCCTACTGTGACATAGTTGGGCTGCTAAGTAGAGGTAGGTGAACTCTGATGAGTAAAGAAGGTCATCTGTGGGCACATCCATACCAAAGGGCCACCCTTTGTCATCACAAGTTACCACCCCATCCCCCATGCCTTCCTGATTCCTCACCCCACCATTTCTCTGAGCAGAGGAGACCCACAGTCTAGGTATCTATGTGTAGCTCAGTGTTTTTCAGTCTCTGGGAATAGATCTTTTTGTGAATCAGGACATCTATGAGTCTATAGATTCCATTTATGGGACTCAGGTTAAGATCTCCTGAGTAACTAAGCATATACTTGAAAAGAGGACTCCCAGATGATTTTAATGCTCAGTTCAAATCTAAAAGACAAAATAAAGAATTATTCATTTTTAAAAAGCCATTATGATATACATAGAGCTGTTTTCATCTCTATGGGGAGATAAGAGAATAAGAGAAATCTCTATGGAGTGATAAGAGAAATGATCAACTCTCCTTGGGGGCAACCTGAACAATTTAGGTTGGTTTCCAAACCTCAAGAAGCTTAAACTATAGATATTTTATATCTAATCTTTTATATATATATGTAATGATAGATAAATATATAGATAGATATGTATATCATACACATATATATATTTCCACTCAGTCTTTTAACTTATTAAAAGCAGAGGCTGTGTTATGCAGCATCTTTGAGAGAACATTTGTGGCAGTAAAAAAATACAAACACA